CTACAAGGACGACAAACGCGACAAACCTCGCTTCGTCACCAAGATCGAAAACGTGGCCATCAGCGAGGGCGACTTCGCCAGGTTCGAGTGCCAGCTAGCGCCGATCAACGACCCGAACCTGAAGGTCGAGTGGTTCCACAACGGAGAGCCCATTATCTTGGGTAAGTGTCACTTTGTTAGACTTAGTGCGTTCGTTCGTCAAGCCCTCCTATTGAAATGAGGTGCTACCACTATAGTTGTGTAGGCTCAAAATTTTGCCCGCTATTCGCTCGCTATCCAAGTAATTGAATCAGTTCGAGACTTCTCGACTGTATCTGTAACAACGTAGGTTTTGGACTGGAGAGAATCATCTAGTCCACCCATTTGCCCAGATCACCCTTTTTGAATCAAAAAGAACTGTCACTTGCGGCTACTGCTGTAGCATGTGTTGGGAGAAGTGAAATGGCATAGGATTTGGTCTTTCGTTCTCCGTGATCCATGATGCTGAAACTTTCTGGGAACTGCGTCCGAACAGCAGTAAACAAACGAACGTGTGACAAAAGTCAATTTCTGCTAGCTCTATATGTACATTCTATTTATTCTCTCTCAGGTGCAGCCACCTCTTCTCCCTATATAAACAAGTCTAATCCTACTTGACAGATTCTTTATAAAATAGGAGATACATGAATATATCTTACAACTCTTCTAAAACCAGATTTCACGGCGTACTGCACCTTGCTGCTGTTGCATAAGGGGCCATTTAAGCCGGCTACGGTTTTGCGGTATTTGAACAGTGCCAAATGCCTCTCACATCGTTTTGTGTATTATAATGATCTATATTAGCGACCAATACTCAAAAACACTTCCAGATGAGGTTGAAACATAGGTCCATTTCGAATGTGTGCATAACATTTATTATTTTGATCAGGAGAGCATTAGTGATTCTCTGGTTTGCCTTCTCAGGGCATGTACAATTAACTGTTTAGCGTATTCGTTAAGCGTGAGGTTTGATCCGCAACTAATTAAGGTGTTATGAAGATAATTACTATTAATGATTATTGACACGATAACTTTGTCTTTTTGTGTCTTTCGCCAGTTTCAATATTCCTCAATAGGGCTAGAGCGTGGCCAGCAAAAATGAGGCACGCATTAATGTATATAAATATGGTCTCGTGCGCTGGAGTATGTCTGTAAGCGCTTAGCATGTCTATAACTGGTCCGTCGTGCGCATGGCATCGTCTCCTTTATCCTACATGCTTATGGACCAATTCAGCATATCACAACTCCATCGGATTTCAGCACCTGTACATTTCTGGCGATGAACAGGATATTGTTCTAGCCAATTGAACTATGCAAAGGCACCTATTGCTAGAGGTGGTGACATATCATAAGTCCGCAATCTGACTTAAATTTCCTATATGCATGTATATGCAAGAACCTTCTGCGAATGCCCGTAAAATCCGCTTTTCAAGAGGTTACACCCTTGTGTGTTAAGGTAAATGCTTTCTGTTTATTCTCCTTAATGCTGCAAGCGATGAGCTTCCTTGCAGACGGAATCATGATGTAATGGCTTCCATGATTATGTTATAGATGGAAATCATCATAATATGTTATTGTACTATTCTATTGCTATATTAGCATTTGTCAAATCCTGAATTGATGTGTGATCCCAAATTTTCGTTTTTTTCGGCAGCTTCTCATTCTGTGTATAAAAACGTGCGTATTCTAGGTCATCGGTTCCTTGCCATCCACGAATTCGGCTACGTCGCGCTGGTGCTTCTTTATGCCCTTCCAGTGGACACCGGAGAATATGTGGCACGCGCGATAAACAAGTACGGTCATGATACGGTAAAGGCGAAGTTGGCGTGTGTACCAAAGAAGCGGGTTATTACCGAATCGCAGCTGCCACCAGGATTTTCGGTTGCCGAAATTTCCAAACTTGAAGAACAGCTTTACTGGTAAGTATTTTAATTATTTATATCGTACATAGAGAACTTCTAAGCTTGCACCCATATGGTGTTTAAAAATTCTAAATCAGAAACCGCGAAAATAAATAAGTTGATATCTACGTAAGTCAGTAATTAGGCAGACAAGAAAGCAAGTGATTGAGTACATAAGTAGAGTTGTGAGTACATATGCAATCAAGCGAGTGAATAAGTGATTGGGAAAGCGAGCGAATATTCTAGCAGGTGAGTAAGTAAAGAAACAGTAATTGATGGAGTGAGTGAGTAATGAATTGACTAAGCAAGTAAGTATGTTCGTAGGTGAGTCGTTGAATAATTAGGCAAGTAAATAATCAAGTGAGAAGGTGATTGCGTAAATGACTGAGCATGTGTGTAAGTGCGTTAAATTTTTGAATGTTAAGTAAGTTAGTAAGTGAATCAGTTCACACTTTGATGAGGTGTGTAAGTAATGCAATGAGTAATTGATTAAGTAAATACATGATTGAGTAACTATATGCATAAACGAAAACAAACAGGCGGATGAATGAATGAGCAGACGGTAAATGAAGCGACAAGTGAGTATGTATGTATGTTGATATGTAGTTCAGCTTGTATACAGATTAGGACATAACTAAATGAATATATGGGCTCGTGACTAAGGAAGCATGTGAATGAATAGATGAATAAGTCCTTAAGTAATGGAGTGAATATGTAACCATTAAGTAATTTGGGAAATGAGTATTTGAATAAACTAATATGCGCGATTGTTTAAGTGGTTGAATCAGCAGGTACGTGAGCTTATGGGCAGCATGTTAGCCAATAAAGAGGCAAATAAGTAGGTTGGTAAGTGAATTAGCAGACGAATGGGTACATTACCGAATAGTTAGGTGAGTAGGCAAGTAAACTGGTGTCTAAGTTAGTAAGTAATCTAGTGAATATGGGGGTTGAGTAGTAAGGAAGCAAGCGAATGAGTAGATTCATAAGTTATGGAGTGACTAAGTAATGAAGTGACTAAGTAGACAAGAAAAAAAAAAGTGCTGAATGTTGAAATAACTTACTAGTGAATGTTTAGGTAGTTGAGTATGTACACACGTAAGCTTGTAGATAGTCGTCATCGAAAAATAAATAAGTTAGTAAGCTAGTGAATAAGCTAGAGAGTGAGTAATTACTGAATGAGTAAGTGGACAGGAAAGTAAATAAAAACAGGTAAGCAATGCAACGAGTAATAAGGTGAGCAAGTAAGCAGTCAAATGAATGAAGAAGCAAATAAATATTAAAATAGACAAGAATTTTCAGCAAGTTAATAAGCAAATGAATCATTAAACAACTATTACCGTGATTGACTGCGCGAAAACCCAGGTAATAGCCGCGATTTGGTTTAAGCAGCTCTACCTATTGTGTGAACAATTCTAAAGGTAAGCAGTACAGTACATTAAGTGAAAACAGTCGAATAGAGAAGCAAAGATAACTCAAAATGAGTTGAAGCTAAAGGCTAAACTATTTTAAATACCTTACGTCATTTTTCAACTTCCAACTTAGTCAGGTCCTGAAATTCAGGAATAAAACTTCACTTAAAATGTACTCTCACAGTTATAAGTAAAACAAACATCTTTGTCTTATCGAATCGAAAGACACACCGACCGTAAACAACAAAAAGTACTGACTAAGGATCTTGAAATTTTAAAGCATTGAAATATGTGATGCATGGCATAAAGATGCGAAGAGATGATTAAGAAATCAATGAGACAACAGAGAATTGAACAAAAGAGTGTAAGTGAGTATTACATTCATTTTTTGTTGCTTGGTGCTTATATTAATTTGATCATATCATTTTTCGAAGGAGATTCTCAGTTTAGCTCCAGACAATCTTTGATCACAAACTGGTGCTATAACTCAGATATCAGTCATTACTCAATGAATAGGCGACAAGATAAGGAAATTTGAGTCGGTCGGGTGCCCGAGTCATGATCGAAAGATTTTTACTGAGTTCATGAATGAGTGCCACATCATCATCAGCATTAGCCTCTGCTGATCCACTGCTGTATCTCTCCTAACCAGATACGGAAGTCCTTTTCAAAAATTTGCAATGAGATTTTGATTTTTGTGACTTTTATCTATTTTGTCAGATGAATTTCTTCAGCTAATCTTGCCATTGATTTGAAGGTCTTTCTATCTTGCAGTGTGGCCTGACCGTTGTCACCCTAACTCCTTCGTTTGGGAAATGATATCGCAAACAGTTTTTTGCTATTATCCATTCACTCTTTACCTATTTTTTCTTGCTGTCTAAGTATATTTATTTTATGAACAGCTTTAAGGCTTAAGACCCACGTTATATACCCATTGTTTAGCCCTGATCGAATGCTTTTCTTTTCAAACACAAGGACAGTTTATCGGATAAAAATATTTTCAATATTCTTAAAGTGTTTCATGCCATGTTTGCTCTTCTACTGTTCCCTCAGACTCGGTTGTCCGTTGCCGAGATTAGCTGATGCAGTAGACCAACAGTGTTTGCACATCTTCAAGCCTAATTCCATGGAGCACTCCATTGAGTATCAGATTATTGGAGAAGGTAGGTGACTGACCGATATAAGCTATGGGCTAAAGTATGGGCTGTGGCTCAATCTCTGGTTCCGATTGCGTTATCGATACCTTACTTATTATGGGCCGAACCCATGATGCAAACATCGGGTGTTGAGTATTGAAATCACATCAAGTAGCTGTCAGTAATGTATTGCTACTTCATTAAATTCCTCTACGATTTAAGTCAGATTTAAACTCAGATTGAACTTATGTTTCAAACATTACGTCATTAATAATGTAGTCGACCCTTTGGCAGAAAATCGTTGTTCGCTTTCACCATTCATGAATGTCTTTTAGAGCAACGTGCACGT